AATAATACAGCCGAAGCAGCACTACTCGATTGGATCCGCGTCAGTAGCCGCCTATGTGCGATGCGGCTCCAAGGGTCTATCAGCGTCCGAAAGGGAAGCAACACCAAAAGGTGTTTGTTCAGCATATGCTCCGATCAACTGCAGTTCTGATGCACAAAAGGACCAGTTTTATAATAAACTCAACGAACTCATTCGGTTGAGTCGAAGCTCCGATATAGTTGTTCTCGCAGGTGATTTTAACGCTCAAGTTGGAATCTGACGCACAAAAAGGACGAGTTTTATGATAAACTCATCGAACTCATTCGGTTGGGTCGAAGCTCCGATATAGTTATTCTCGCAGGTGATTTGGAAAACTGAACGCATCGGAAGCTTGTCAGGCGGTCACTGTGCTCTGCCCTGCCAGCAAACAGATAATGGCGATCGACTTCTACAGTTCTGCGCAGATCATCATCTGTTCCTATCAAGCACCAACTTCCGACACAACTCTCATCGGACAGCAACGTGGCGCTCAAATCCAACTGGCACGCTAACTCAGATCGACCACATAGCATTAAACTACAGTTGGTGTTGCTCAGTACAAAACTGCAGGTCCTATTGGACCACCTGCGTTGAACCTGGTCATGCGTCAGTTTTGATGCAGTTCACTCTCCAACTCACTGGCAGCAGAAAATTCCATCAAACTCCACTGGCAGATTATCGCTTATCTGACCCAGGCGTTCGAGCCCGTTTTGAATAAGAACTAGGGTAAGAGCTAAACGTACTGCGGGGTGGCAGTATAAATGAACAATGGGATCAGATTAGCCGAGCAATGCACTATGCAGAGAAAGTCGTTCGTGGATCTGAAGCAGTAGCCCGCTCGAGGCATTGGATATTTCAGGAGTTAGTAGCACTGATGGAGAAAAAGCGGCAAATACCCATCGCCCGCTATCAAGCCAGGGTTAGGAGGCGTCTACAACGTCATCTCACGGGGAGCCTCAAGAAAGACCGGTTATACGAGCGCATCCCATCATCCTGGAGCGAGGTACTGATTGTTTCAGTTTTTAAGAAGGGATCTCGCAATGACTGCGCAAACCACCGTGGGATACGTTTGATCCCAACCGTCACTAAGTTACTAGCCTCCATTATACTTCCACATCTGACACCGTGTAGAGAGACAAACATCCGCGAACAACAACCATGATTTCGACCAAGTCGCGGTTGTATCGATCAAATTTTCACCCTGCGTCAAGTCCTCGAGCCATACGCACCGTCGACCAACGGTTATCGTGTTACTTGACCTAAATCAGCATTCGACTCAGTTGATCGTAAGTCACTTATGGGTTCACTCCTTCTCAAAGAAGTGCCGCAGACGTTTGTGAATATATTTAGTTCACTGTACTCATAATCCTGGCAGCGTAAGGGTATATGGTGAGCTGAGTAAATCGTTCGCAACTAGCAGTGGTGTTCGTCAAGGGTGCCCTCTTTCGCCATTCTTGTTCAATACTGGAGAACGTCTTTCGTGGTCTCCAAAATGATTAGAAAGCTGGAGAAAAGCTGTGCGATTTGGAGTACGCTGACGACATCCTTTGCTTGTTCGAATATATGGATGATGCACAAAAAGCAGTTTACAGATTAACAAGTTCTGTCGCTGCGTTCGGCATATGCTTTGCCCCTTAAAAGTACAAACTGATGCTACAAGACTGGGTGTCACCGAGTTCTATTTTGGAACTAGACGGTCAGGAAGTAGCTGAAGTTGACTATCTCTCGTACTAAGATAGCTGCGTGATTAACCACGATAGCGTATCGAAGGAGATAACCGCTCGCATTTCCAAGGCTTGAGCAGCGTACGCAGGAATTAAATATCTATGGCGGCGACATAGCGTGTCACTAAAGTGGAAAAGTCGCGTATACTGCGCCACTGTACGATCAGTGCTACTTCAAGGTTGTGAGACCTTGAATTTGAAGGTAGAAGACACCCATCGCCTTGTAGTTGCCAACAACCGACGCTTGCGTAGTCTAGCCCAAGTAGGATGGAGTGAGCGGGTTATTCGTCGAGTATTTGGGAATGCGTCAAACAAGAATTCATTATCGCATCGAATTGGTTAGGACACGTTTTGCGTATGTCCGACGGTCGCCTACCGCAGCGCGCCTTGTTTGCAGTGGCTGTCACAGGCTGGAGTAATTCACGTGAAGGCCAGTAGATGACGTGGAGACGAGACATAAAGAAATGCACAGAGCGATTAGGTAGAGTAGGTGTCTCTCGTCTTCCGGGTTGGGGTCCAAAAGACTCCAAAACCACATGGTTGAAGACACTGAAGGTCATGGCTGCGAACCGACGGCAATGGCGGTTATGCTATCACTTGTTATCAGTCCAAAATGCTTGAACTAGTATGTATGCACAGTTGGGCTGTGTACTCTGTGTGTTGACCATAGAGGTTCGCCTTATTTTCCCGTCCCTGAAAATAGGCCCAATCCCTGTACTTACACATTCTCACTTATCTTGTATGCATTATGAGTGTGACAGCGATCAGTGATATTCGCTTCGCCACTTAATGAATGACTAGGTCGTTAGTAAGGACCCCATTCGGGAAGAACAGTGCGAATTACATGAACGACCTACAAAATCTACCGCACAAGCACTTTTGTTCGGCCCATCACGACGAGATTGAAGTTTGACCTGATGTGATGGCTGGTGCACCTCTCTGATCCGAAGTGCTATATAGGATGGTTTTTGTCAAGCCAGGGTATCTAATTATGCCTGGAAGATCGAGGGTTAGAGGTCGGACGAAGTTCAACTTCCTGGTTTTCCAGGTTGCCGGTTCGACCAGAATTTGCGTTTCAGTGGCCAAAGTATGGTGGAGTAATTGCTCCAAATGAATGGGTCTCCACTTTGCTTCACCCGTTGTCTTGCGGCTAGGTTCATGTCGGAGCTAAAGGCTTTGGTGGAGGACCCTAATCGTTCTCCTGCTTAGTGGTTGGACACCCTAGCAGTACCAGTCCATCAAACTGCAATGCATATGCTTTTTGAGTTTGGTAGCGATCCGTGAAGTTCGCTTTCCTGTATTTCGCTGTACGATGACGATGATGATGTGTTGGGACAACTAACTGCTGCATTTATCTCCCAGTTCATCCTCAAGATTTGTATAATGTTAACCGTGATGAACAGCAGGCGGGGCAGACTTCATACTCCCGAAGACCTGTTCAATGATGATAACCGGCAACGTAAGACCCGGAACTTGGAGTGGCGAACAAAATACGTCAACAACACAACCCTAAAGGGTTAAATGTATCAGCGAAAAAGCGTTAACAAACCTGCCTCATGCTAGCAAAGGTAGAGATAAAACTTAAGGCTTCCATCAACGACAACCGTCAGAACAACTCGGCCACCACTGCTCAACGTGACGGGAAAACACGCAGCTAGGTACCACTTATTTTGCATGCATATCCCGCAACGTCTTGAATGATCCAGATATTGCTCGATATATCAATATCTCTTGGAGTCGCAAAAAGATTGTTTTTAGGACAACAAATCCAAACAATTACGTATGATTTTCCAAAAATACAGCGAAAACTTAACCAGACCGAACAGCAACAAGTTTTCAACAGCTAGTTTCACACGTTAACAGGGGTAATGTGATGTATTTCGTGCAATTGCTTTTGAGCATTCATAAATTATTCAAAGGCTTTCAACTGCCCACGACTGAATAGACATCATGGACCGAAAATTGAGGTGGCATTCTGTCACTGGTCACAAAGCGGTTTGAGCGAAACGCGAAATTTGTAGCCATAGCGCACGTCATTTGATGGGCAACAGACGTCACTCACGGAAACTGTCAGCAGAACTGCAGACTGACCGGTTGTTCCTCCCAAAATTCGACAGTGCGGCACTGATAACCAAAGGACAATGCATAAACAGCTCACCATTGACATCTTACATCATCATCATCATCATCAGTGCACAGCGTAAACAGTGAAGCGAACTTCACTGACATCTTGCATAAAGACAGATACTGAGACCTTAACATCAGCTACAGAAACACTATACGTATCCCACAACGAACAAACTACTTGATATGCGGGTATATTTACCAGGACCTCAAGGTCCCTGAATAGGGTTGGAAAAATCGATCTTGATAACAATTGTTTATTCCGACCACTAAGAAAACCTGTGAAACACAGTGAGTTGATGCGGCTTCCGGGACCGAATCCGCATAGTCATGAAGCGTATACCATAGCATCGCTTTATTTTCAAATAAAGTGTGCCCAATTTTTCTTTTATTCTCGACCTCGCGTCCCACGGGCGCCGACTAGTTTACGATTATTTGAGCTGCGCGACCTACTGTTATGGCAGTGGACAGTTTTTTAAACTAAGGAAAATCCTTCAGAATAGCGGTAAAGAAATAGGATGAAATTTGCCCGTAGTCAGTGGATACCGGTTTTATATAATCAGCGACGAGGGGCATGCCATCCACACCAGGGAAGCAGCGGTCCGACCGTTAGACAAGATATTTCAGCCGACCTGGTGCAAATAAGTGAACTCTGGTACTAACAGCTGAAACCGCATGGATAGGGATATATAAACCCCTCCCCCGAAGGAACATATGACCTTGCACGGTGAGTTGACTTAAGGTACTTGAACTTATTTCAAAGAGGACGATTCCCTGAAAATCAATATCACCGTTGCACTGTGAAATGTATGGTCTGAAAAGTGCTTCCAGCTAATCCCGAGTGGGGATCACTGGCCACCGTTACTGTTAAAAACTAATTGAACTACTGTACGGTGTTGGATTTTGACAGCAGCCTAAAGGATAACTAAATAATACTATACCGTTTAATGCCTCACGGAAGAACAAATATCTATTATTCGTGGATCAAACTGATCACGTCGCGATATGGTTCCATTTTTCTCCTCCATTTAAGGGTTAAAATTGCACTGCACACGTCGGGTAGTGATCTAGAAGTTCCTAGATCTGTAGGGATTGGATGAGGCAGAAGGCTGTGCGCCCCGGAACAATACTAACTAACTGCGATAACTGCACCCTAGTGCTTCTGGTCGAGCAACGGTCCACGACAAACTAAGCACTTCATTTACCCTGCACAAGTGTTCGTCGAAGATGTCACATTTTGTATTTATTGTCTCAACAGGTTTCAAAAATGACTAGTCAAATTGACGACCTGAGGAAATCTAAGTGGTTTGGAAGATGGACAAAGCGCAACTGATACAAAAACATGCTCCATCGCTCCTTTCAGTATGCGCTTGACACTTTTCAAAGTGCGAAGGGATACTACTAGATTGGATGCCGGCAACCCGATCGTGGAGCCTAAGGTCAGAAGTTAATTGTGACTGATGATCTGTCCTACCTAAATGGTTGCAACCGATGGCGAAAATGCAGTAGAAGAGGGGAAACCGCATGTGTGTTCACAAGTAAAGCGCTGCATGCTAGACTGCAACACCTCGCATGTATAGGAAACAGTTCAGGAAAGTAGAAAGGTGGCATCTACTGTACCACGGTGGTCGGTAATGCTTTACGGTTGTGAGACCTCGAGTTCATTTGTGAAAGATAGTAATCGTTTGGTGACTTAGATCGTTGACATATGCGTAGTAAGAGATAAGCAGAGACGAAGTGATCGGGTGAGCTACACCCAAATAGGTAATTGTGTACACATGAACTTGTGCCAAAAACACATGAAACTACACGACTTTCAAGGAAAACTCACTGTTACGTCTAATTCGGATGAGTAGAGTTCTCAAGTTAAGAGCTGTGTTACGCATGCATTACAAAAGATAATCTACCTACGCCTTGATTGCATAGCGTTGTTAAAACATGTCTCATGTCTACCGATAGCGTGCGGATGATGTTTGAAAAGTGCATGGAAAGGTTAGACAGAGTAACCGTCTTTTATCCCTCAGATTAAAGTCAGATTAGATTCTGCAACTGGTTAGTGGGACTCAATAAAGGACAGGGGTTACTGCTCCCAATTCTCACCAGGTCAGAATTCTTGGAGAGATATCATTGCGTACAATGGGATTGAATGCCTGATGCATTGACCGCAATGATCCACACGACCACACACAGAGAAGCCTTACTTCAGAGCATACGCATTCCCCATCCACCTAATATGTCCACATTTAATTTGTACACTGTGCGCTTTGTAGTGCTCAAGCAAGTAAACTTGACTGCGCCTCCGTGTACGAATTCCACTGGATCGTTCGAATTCCTTACCATTGACCACACTGATCAGTGTTGTGCTGAACGACAGTTTACTTCGACACGAGCACAGAGAACACAATGCGAGAGAGACTGTGTCACGGAATAACGTGTGAAAAGAAACGGCTGGCGGTGGTGCATTTATATTCCTTCCAAACTGGGGTTTGAAAGAAAAAAGGGAGAAAGCAAGTGCAACAACGCAACAAACGGGTGTGCAACCACGCGACTAAAGATCAGTGTCCGGAAAGAAGTCACGAAAGACGTGGTGATACCGGTTCGAATAACGTTTATTCGCCAGAACCAGAACAGTAAAAGTCATAAAATTTCCGAAGGGATAGAACCGAAAGAAACGAAGTATTGGAAAACAAAGCGGATCGATCATGGAATTGCGACATGAGAGCATGTTGTGCGGAAAATAGCAAACAGTTTCACACAAAAAAATCGTGATAGACAAAAGAACTTGGAATATCACATGAATACACAGACTGCTCTCTGGACTCCGGAATAACAGAAACGAGCAAGGGAATGAATGAGATTGCTAATCGCTGTCCACCCTGATATTTTTCGTCCGCACCGACCTCAATGATCGGTTAGACCTTATTCGAATCAGCAGCGACTCCTCCATTTGAATCGCTATCAGCTGGCACCTTGATAGTAGTAGCCTCCACATAAGTAGGTAGTTCGTCGAATTGATTATACTGTAAAAAGAGAAATATAAGCAGAATGGAATCAGTTCGATTGGTTGAACTATCAAACCTTGCCCGGAAGCCACGTGTATGGAAAAGGTGAAAGCCTATCACCATCAAAATATGAGCATCAAATAAACATGAATGCAGGAGTTTATATCGGGGTGATGAAAAAATGAGTCCAACATTTCAGCTACTTTCTCAACCGCTCAACCCAGTGAAATATTGCCCTGGGCCGTAACAGAAGAGGAGATCAACCCGGACCCAAACATGTGGTTGTATATCTCTGCGGCCATCACGGCGATGAAAAACAGGACATCCCACAGCAAGGACAACTTCTCAAATGAAATTTTTGTCAACTCCATTAAACCCATTCACCATTCTATTCCGTCACGTTTTGGATACTAAAATTGCCCAAGAATGGACAATATCGATTGGAATCCCTATTCCAAAAGAGGCGCTGAACCCATCTGCGCGAGCGATAGGGTATCATCTTCAATGACAAGCATTGCTAATGAACGTGACATAAAAACACGTCCAAACCAATGTGGTTTCGCTGAAGGAAGAGTTGTGTCGACTAAATCTACACGTACGGCGAATCCCAGAACATCAGCATAAGTTCCAACAACTAACCTACAAATTCCGTTGATTTTCACGCTGGGTTCGCCTTCCTAAAAAGACAGATGCATAGGAGAATCCTGATGGGATGACCGAAAATGACACAGAGCTAATCCACCCACTACATTATATACATATATACATATATATATATATATATATATATATATATATATATAACACGTAATCAATTACATAGATTTGGCAGATGTGCCACAACATATGAAGAAAGAGATGTTAAAACGGTTTAAATGTGAATCAACTAATAAGAGTCCCGCAACTGGTGTGTTGTTGTCGACGGTTACCAGCCATGTCTGCAAGTGTATCAAACCATAGATGTTCTTTGTCCTTGGGACCCCAACCAGGGAGTCTGGAGCGTCCTGCCAATGCCAGTTTTAAAGTTAACGCGTTCATTGTTCTCGCTCAGGTTATTCGCTGTCACCTTGTCGTCGCTTTCAGTCAGTGTCTGTTTGCGCAAACACAACACGATGGGGCAATCGTTGAGTCGGCATCCGCAACATATTTCCTAGCCATCGAAGTCTCTGAAGCGAGATGATGGCACTCAGAGGACGACTGAGACTGTCTGCGGCGAAGATTCTTCGGCGAACCTCGTCGTTGGTGTTTCGCTGTTACCAACGTATTCTGACGATGCAACGAAGGCAACGGTGGTCAAATACACTTAATCTCTGTACAGCTTCCGCGTGGAGGGGTCCACTCTCGCAGTAGTAGAGTAGAACAGTGCGCACTGCGGCATTGTCAACACGGCCTTTCAAAGAGAGGCCGAGATCACGTCGGCGTCACAAGTGACGTAGGTTAGCGAAAGCTACTCGAGCCTTGCGGATACGCACTGATATTTCTTCCGTCAGTCCTCTTCAGCTGAAGCAACTCCCGAGATAAGTAAAGTGATCGACGATTTCCAACTGGTCGTTCATAGGCGTGAGAACAGGTGTAGCCTCTTGCCAGTCTTGTAGTAAAACCTTACATTTCGATGGAGAAAATGTTATACCGAACTGCGTGACGGACAATGCTAACTTACACAGGACATTTCGAGCGTCCTGGGAGGAGTCGCAGAGTAAAACGATGTCGCTAGCATATTCCAAGTCACGGAGTCGATCTTCTGAGATGAGCTTCAGACCGGAAGATCTGCAGTTTTCTAGAGCGCTGCTCAGGATTTTGTCTACTGCGAAATTAAAGAGGAAGGGCGAAGCCGAGAACCCTTGTTGAACTCCGGTTGTGGTCGTAAATGAAGGGTAGATGCGATCATAGAGCTTGACGCGGCCTGATGTGTTTGAGTAGATGGCTTTGAGAAGGTTTACATACTCCTCAAGTAATCCGCTTCCAAACAGACAAGTCCAAAGAGCTGCTCTGCAAACTGAGTCAAACACAGCACGTATGTCCAAAAACACAACGATGGTCGGTCTACTGAACGTTTGACGTTGTTCGAGGATCTGGCGTAGCACAAATGTGATCAACGCAGATCCAGCCAGGGCGGAATCCAGCTTGTTCTTAGCGGATATGACACCCTCTCGTCCAATTGAGCCTGTGAAGGATAAATGACGTTAACATCTTCGATGCAACGGAGATGAGACTAATCCCTCGGTGACTGAAGCAATCCTGGCGAAAGCCCTTCTTGAAAACAGGCACGACGTCCACCAAACTCTATTCGGACGGAATGGATTCAGTAGTGTAGATGGTTTGGAATAAGGAAGTTGGCTCTGGAGCAAAGCTTGCACCATCGTCTTTGAAAAGGGTCAGAGCGAGCTGATCTGGGTCGGGCGATTTGTGGCGTTTCAGAGGTCTGAGCTCTTGGGAGACTTCTTACTCGGTAGGCAATGAAATATCCACAGACCACTGGGGCCCAACGGACATCAGGGGATGGAGGCGATGTTGTCAATGGCCAACTGAATTGTTCATGAAAATGCTCCGCTCAGCGTCCAAGCCGACTTTGTAGATTGTGGACACATTCGTCACTAGATTCGCATATGGTTTCACTGACGAATGGTTCTAAGTTACCGGTGGCTCGGATTAGTCGAAAAAGTTTTTGAGCATTACCGAAAGCATAGGCTAGTTCCATCTCCGACGCGCGTTGTACTCACCAGGTCTCTCGCTTCTCTTTTAGGAACTGTTTCAGTTCAGCACTGAGAGTCCTGCGAACTGTGTTG